GTCCATAGAAAACGGTCAGGCTGTCGGTGTAACCGCTAAAATAAACAAGTGTGTGTGTGTTAAACACCGAACACAGAGCCGCTGACACACACACACACACACACACACACACACATTCAATATCACTCATCTGTGTTGTGCTCATATTCTACACACACACACACACACACACACACACACACACACACACACACACACACACAGACTCTAGTCCTGTGTGTAAGCGGTTGCTCTTAATATTACACACTTAAACACACACCCACGGTCTCAGACACAGACAGATACACACACACACACACACCTACACTGTCTTATATACAGTGGGCATGGGCCGGTAGAAGACTGAGGTGTGATATAAGCATCCGGGTGTTGAGCTCACTGCTGTAAAATAAGCTTATATGTTTAATGTCTGGATAAAACACTGAAACTCTTGATCTCGATGTGTTATTTTGGGAAACAGTTATGATATTTATGAGCAGTAATGTCAGGCTGAATAACTCTGATCAGTCATGGTCTTCTGCTGTCTTCATTAGTTTCTAAAACACTGATCTCTTTACTATTTAACAGCATGTTGGATATGTGTTCTGCTGGAGACACTGCTGTCCTACAACACTTCCGACATGAGGAACACTGGCACACGCCTCAGGAACGCTACAGCAGATCATTGTGGCGGTTTCGAATCGTTGACTTCTCCAAACCGCGCTATACCTTCACAACGGTTATCATCCCGCGCCTAATATACACACAGAGAAACTCTGACACACACACACACACACACACACACACACACACACACACCTGAACCCCTCTCAAATATATACACACACACCATCTCATACACACACTCACAAAAACAGAACACAGACAGTCTCACACACTCTGGCCCGGTACACACATGGTCGTGATGTGAGATGTGGTCATGAACGTGCAGCTGATGGTTCAGTCGCTCTTCATCTCGGCTCTGCTGAATGATGATTCTCTGTCTGAAAACTGTTTCATGTAAATGTGTAGACATCACCAGCTCCATCACCAGCTCCACTCATCACCAGCTCCATCACCAGCTCCATCACCAGCTCCACTCATCACCAGCTCCATCACCAGCTCCATCACCAGCTCCACTCATCACTAGCTCCATCACCAGCTCCATCACCAGCTCCACTCATCACCAGCTCCACTCATCACCAGCTCCACTCATCACCAGCTCCATCACCAGCTCCATCACCAGCTCACTCTTCACCAGCTCCATCACCAGCTCCACTCATCACCAGCTCCACTCATCACCAGCTCCACTCATCACCAGCTCCACTCTTCACCAGCTCCACTCATCACCAGCTCCACTTGCTGGAGGAAAGATCACCGCATCATGAAGCTCTCGGCTCTAGTGAATCAGCAGTGTGCAGGGATCAACACAAGGATCTTTTCTGCTGGTCCAGATGGGTCAATAGTTCAGATTTGTACTTGCGCTGCCAATATTTCCACTGAACACACCAAAGAAAACCATTCTCACCCACACATTACAAACAGTGTCAACAAATAATGTCTATAATTACTTACATAGTGTATTTAAATAGGGCGGCACGGTGGCACAGTGGGTTGTGCTGTCGCCTCACTGCAAGTAGGTTGCTGGTTTGAGCCTTGGCTCAGTTGGTGTTTCTGTGTAGAGTTTGCATGTTCTCCCCGTGTTGGCGTGGGTTTCCTCCGGGTGCTCCGGTTTCCCCCACAGTCCAAACACATGTGCTATACGGGAACTGGGTCGGCTAAATTGTCTGTAGTGTATGAGTGAGTGTGTGTGGATGATTCCCAGAGATGGGTTGCGGCTGGAAGGGCATCCGCTGTGTAAAAACTTGCTGGATAAGTTGGCGGTTCATTCCGCTGTGGCGACCCCGGATTAATAAAGGGACTAAGCCGACAAGAGAATGAATGAATGAATATATTTAAATAGGGCAGCACAGTGGCACAATGGGTGGCACAATCGCCTTCCAGCAAGATCTCTAGTTCGAGCCTGGGCTTAGTTAATGTTTCTGTGTGGAGTTTGCATGTTCTCCCCGTGTTGGTGTGGGTTTCCTCCGGGTGCTCCGGTTTCCCCCACAGTCCAAACACATGTGCTATAGGGGAACTGATCAACTACACTGGCTGTAGTGTGTGTGAATGCAAGAGTGTGCGGATGTTTCCCAGTACTTGGTTGCAGCTTGATGGTATCCGCTGTGTAAAACATATGCTAGAATAGTTGGTGGTTCCTTTCACTGTGGCGACCTCTAAATAATAAAGGGACTAAGCCGAAAAGAAAGTGACAGAATGAATGTATTTAAGTGAAGTTTATTCATGAAGTAATTTGGAGAGGAGCATGTGATTATGATTGAACACGGCTGGTTCTGCATTAGCATGCATGATCCACCAATCAGACAATTCCTAACCCACTATAAAGAGCCAGGGGTTTTCACTACAGTCATCTTCGATTTGAAGAATCCCCCCTTCCACCCCTACCTCTTCACCTTTCCCTCCATAGGGCAGCACGGTGGCCCAGTGACTAGCACTGTCGCCTCACCGCAAGAACGTCACCGGTTCTAGTCCTTCAACAGGCTGGTGGTCGTTTCTGTGTGTAGTTTGCATGTTCTTCCTGTGCTTGCGTGGGTTTTCCCCGGGTCCTCTGGTTTCCTCCCACATTCCAAAATCATGCACAACAAGTAAATTGATAAATCTAAATTTGTAATTCAGGTAATCTTATATTGCAGCATATCTTTTAATAGCATTCAATGTTTAGTCATCTGCTCTTATCAAGGGGGAGTTGTCGAGATCTACCTGAGCTCAAGGCTCCCCTCTCTTCCTCCAAACGGGAGGGAGGCCAGGGCTCAAGAACCTTTGAGCTCAGGGCTCTCTCCCGGGACAGCATGCCAAACTTGCTTATAATCAATCATCAGCTAAGTGTGA